AAAAAAAAAAAAAGTAAGTCCAAGTGAAAATACTGGAACACTGCCACAATTTCCTTATGCCCCAACATAAAAACCTCTGCTTAAAATACTGTTTACTACACTGATAAGCCAAGAAAAACCACACTACTGGTAAAACCAGTGACCTGCAAATTGCAAGGCTGTGGCTCAGAGCAAAAGCAAAGCACTGCAGCAATTTCAAATACCACTCTCCTTTCCAGAACTTCTGGCCTTTAACACATTAAATGCTATGTGAGCTATATTTAACTTATGTTAGTTTTGAGACAAGGCCTCATGAAGCATACATAACATACAGGTCTCTTGCACACTGACTGCCATACAAGGAAATCTTTTTTCTCTTCGGGCATCACGTTTTTATTTTTATTTATTTTTATTTTTTAGATAGAGTCTCACACTATGTTGCCCTCAGTAGAATGCTGTGGCATCACAGCTCACAACAACCTCCAACTTTTGGGCTTAAGCAATTCTCTTGAAGTAGCTGGGACTACAGGCATCTGTCACAATGCCGGGCTGTTTTTATTGCAGTTGTCATTATTGTTTAGCTGGCCAGGGCCAGGTTCAATCCTGCCAGCCTCTGTGTATGTAGCTGGCGCCATAACCACTGTGCCATGGGCGCCAAGCTATGGGCACCACGTTTTATTAGGTCAAGATACGTCAAGAGACATGTGAGTTAGGCTGGGTGCGATGGCTTACACATGTAATCATAGCACTCTGAGAGGCCGAGGTGAGTGGACTGCTTGAGCTCAGGCATTTGAGACCAGCCTGAGCAAGAATGACACCTCCTCTCCACTAAAAATAGAAAGAACTAGCCAGGCATTGTGGCAGCTACCTATAGACCCAGCTTCTTGGGAGGCTGAGGCAAGAAGATAGCCTAAGCTCATGAGCTTGAGATTGTTGTGAGCTATGGCGTCATAGCATTCTACAGAGGGCGACAGAGTGAGACTGTCTCAAAAAAAAAAAAAAAAGATGTGAGTTATATAGTAGAACCTCCAGAGTTGACCACCTCTCTACATTGACCATTTCCTTAAGAGTTGATCTCATTTTCATAGACCGGAGATGCAGTTCCTTATGTTGACCATCTCTGTATGTTGAATAGTTTGTTACAATTCTTTGGGTCATCAACTTACAGAAGGACTACTGTATATATACGTCATGAAGCCCTAGGCTGAAAACTAGCATGAGTTAAATACAATTCACATGGCAGTTAATGTGCTTGACCTAATAAAACACCATGGCCTCAAGGGAAAAAAAATGTTTTTTCTACTGTGGCAGTCAATGTATTAATTATGGAATGAGTCACAAATATTTGAGCTAACCACCAGGACATCAGCATGTGCCAGAGTTGCTGACCTTCCCCTAAGGGTGGCTGAGCAAGCTATGCAATGCTGGCTAAGAGCCAGTGGCAGAGACCCCATTTCTCTTTAACTGGAAGTAGAGGGACCCCCCACCCCCAAGGCTTCTTAACATGACAAAAACATTCATTTTCTTCTGGTGAGGGCACTGCTGAGACCATTCAAAGATGCCTTTTTTTTTTTTTTTTTTGAGACAGAATCTCACTTTGTCACCCTCGGTAGTAACATGGCATCACAGCTCACAGCAACCTCCAACTGTTGGGCTTAAGCGATTCTCTTGCCTCAACCTCCCTAGCTAAGGCAAGCTGAGCTAGCTGAGCTAACCATCAGGGCATCAGCATGTGCCAGAATTGCTGACCTTTCCCAAGGGTGGCTGAACCCAAGACTATTTTTAGAGATGGGGTCTCACTCTGGCTTAGGCGGGTCTTGAATCCAAGGGCTCAGGCAATCCACCCGCCTCAACCTCCCAGAGTACTAGGATTACAGGTGTGAGCCACTATGCCTGACCTCAAAGATGCCTTTTTGTGATCCCTTTTAGGAAACAGCAAGGTTGACTTATTTGCTAAGTAAACCCAAATAAGTTTTCTGTGCCTGGATGGAGCCCTCATGGTACTTGGCATCATCATTGGCATCGCAACCCTGGCCCAGTGAAGAAACAAGCAGATAACTTAAATGCCAGGCAAAAATCTGCTCACTACAGGCAGAGCTTTCACCTTCAGAGCACGACCTTAAACCTGGACATAGGCAAACACTGATGTTATTCTATGTTCATTCGCTTTTCACAAGACTCATGAACAACCATTAGAGGAAAAAAGTAAGACCACTCTAAAGAGCTGCTAAGAGAATACCACCAACTGCCAGATACAGATTTGGGAGACTTTCCTTGTCACAAGAATGACTAAGTTAAGTCTCACAAGCCACGAGTCAAGAGGAGAAAGAGGAAACCTCTTGGGGAGTGAAGGAAAAGCACTTAAGTGCTTCTGCAGGCTTGAATCCATTGGCTCACAAGAATGTTCAACATTGTGGGGACCCTGTTCTCTAAGAAGTGGATGTGGAGCCCTTCCTTGCATCAGAGATGCAAAGCTGACTAAAGAGGACCTGAGAACACGGCAAATGACTCATTAGCTATTCAGTGTCTTGTAGGGTTGCTCATTCCTTGACATGAGCATGTTCTCATCCACCAAACTGAATGAGAAGAGCTGGAATGTCCAAAGCCCTTACAAAACTTTGGAAGCTCAGGTGCACAGCATGTGTTGGAACTGATCTGATGTCAAGGATGAACTATGTACTGTATTTGTAACAAAATTTCCAATTTCAACTTCTACAAACCACAGAGCATCTTACTTACTAAAACATCTTACTTATTATTTCTGAATGAAATTAAATGTGGAGTAATTTAACTTACAATTTGGTTTCAATTTATTTTCAAAAGCTAATATTAGTTTTAGTTCACATTAATTCTATTATTATTTTTACAATTCAGTAGTTTTGTAGTATATCCAACAAGGTTATAAAACACCATTACCTAATTTTCAGAACAGTCATCACCCCAAAAGTAAAAGCAGGGTCTTTTTTGTCACCATTAATAGTCATCCCCTATTCCTCACTACCTCTAGCCCCTAACCACTTAATAGAAAGCAACCACTAAACTGCTTTTTTGTTGTTGTTTTTTTGAGACAGTCTCACTATGTTGCTGTTGGTAGAGTGCTGTGACATCACAGCTCACAGCAACCTCAAACTCTTTTGGCTTAAGCAATGCTCTTGCTTCAGTCTCCCAAGTAGCTGGGACTACAGGCACCCGCCACAATGCCCAGCTATTTTTTTGTTGCAGTTGTCATTTATGTTTAGCTGGCCTGAGCCAGGTTCCAACCCACCACCCTCAGGTTACAGTTGGTGCCATAACCACTGTGCTACAGGCGCTGCCCTAAACTGCTTTGTTTATAGATTTGCCTGTTCTGAACAATTTATATAAATGGAATCCCACAGTATGTGGTCGCTTGTGTCTGGTTTCTTTCATGTAACATAATGTTTTCATGATCCAACCATTCCTTTTTATGGCTGGATAGTATTTCATTATAAGGATATAACATATTTTATTTACCCATTCACCAGTTGATAGATACTGGGGTTATTTCCACTTTCTGGCTATTAAGAACATAGTTAAAATGGCTTGGCGCCTGTAGCTCAAGTGGCTAAGGTGCCAGCCACATACACCAGAGCTGGCGGGGTCAAATCCAGCCCAGGCCTGCCAAACAACTACAACCAAAAAATAGCTGGGCATTGTAGTGGGCACCTGTAGTCCCAGCTACTTGGGAGGCTGATGAAAGAAAATCGTTTAAGCCCAGGAGTTGGAGGTTGCTGTGAGCTTGATGCCATGGCACTCCACCTAGGGTGACAGCTTGAGGCTGTCTCAAAAAAAAAAAAAAAACAGACGACGAACATAGTTAAGAACATTTGCGTACAAGTTCTGTGTGAAAAAAATGTATACACACAAACACATACACACACTTCTTTTGGGTATGTACCTAGGCATGGAATTACTAACTTTTCTTTTTTTTTTTTTGAGACAGAGTCTCACTTTCCCTTTCAACCTGAATGCAGTGGTATCACAGCTCACAGCAACCTCAAACTCCTGGGCTCAAGTGATCTTGCCTCACCTGCCTGAGGGACTACAGGCGCCTGCCACAATGCCCAGCTATCTTTTAGAGACGGGGTCTCGCTCTTGCTCAGGCTGGCTCAAACTGGTAAACGCAAACAATTCACCTGCCTTGGCCTCCCAGAGTGCCAGGATTACAGGGTGTAAGCCACCATGCCCAGCCTAAGTTAACTTTCTAAAGAACTGCCAAGGTGACTGTACCACTTGAAATTCCCACAACCAAATTAAGAAGGTTCCAATTTCTCCATATTCTCATCAATACTTCTATTGTTTATCCTTTTGATTGTACTCATCTTAGCAGGAGTTCATTCATTTTTGCATGAAATATCAAGAAACATAATTCTTTGTAAAAACTTTTCCTAATCTACAAGAAAAAATCAATTTCCAATGCAATAAATGAAATTTTAAGTCTAAGGAAAGCGTTAATGACAGATATCCTCAGAGATGTCTAACACAAAACCATTAAGCTTTTTTTTTTAGACACAGTTTATGTCGCCCTTGGTAGAGTGCTATGGCATTACAGCTCACAGCAACCTCAAACTCTTAGGCTTAAGTGATTCTCTTGCCTCAACCTTCCATGTAGCTGGGACCATAGGCACCCAACACAAAGCCCAACAAAGTTTTGGTTGTAGTTGTCATTGTTGTTTAGCTGGCCTGGGCCGGTTTCAAACCTGTCAGTCTTGGTGGATATGGCTGGCTATGAGTGCCAAGCCAAGCTTTTTTTTTTTTTTTTTTTTGAGACAGAGTCTCATTATATGTTGCTCTCAGTAGAGTGCTGTGACGTCACAGCTCACAGCAACCTCCAACTCTTGGGCTTAAATGATTCTCTTGCTTCAGCCTCCCAAGTAGCTAGGACTATAGGCACCTGCCACAACACTCAGCTATTTTGTTGTTGCAATTGTCATTGTTGTTTAGCTGCTCTGGGCTGGGTTCAAACCTGCCACCCTTGGTGTATGTGGCTAGTGCTGTAATCACTGAACCATGTGCGCTTAGCCCGAGCTTTTGTTTTTTTAAATACAATTTATTTATTAATTATTTGAGATAGTCTCATGCTGTCACCCTGGATAAAGTGTCATGGTATCAACAGCTCACAGCAACCTCCAACTCATGCTCAAGCAATCTTCTTGCCTTAGTTTTTTCTATTTTTGGTAGAGACAGGGGTCTCACTTTTGCTCAGGCTGGTTTCAAACTCCTGAGCTCAAGCAATCCACCTGCCTCAGCCTCCCAGAGTGTTAGGATTACAGGCATGAGCCACCTTGCTCTGCTAAAACCATTAAGGAATACTAGTCTAGAGGGACTCTCACAGCCCTGGGGTTCAGACATCCTGCAGGTCAGAAAACTTCTGGAGCCTTGCTGACCAATGTGTTTCTTTTTGTCTTATGGACGGTGAGATACAACAGAAAGCCAGAGAAACTTCTGTCACTAGTACAAGGCATCCCTGCTTCCAAAGGACTGACAGAGATTCACTTTCCCTTTCAACCAGCTATAGCCATACATGGGAGGCATCACTGGGGTGATACACTGCATAGAGAAGGCCACACCTGTGTGGGCGTCCTGAGAATACCAACATCCTCCCTATCACAAACCCTGCTGTCCCATGATGTGTCAGGTCTAGATATGCTCTGAGTGCTTGTGCCAATAGGGCAAGACCTTGCAGCTTTGTTTACCACCCTCTTACCTCTCAGAGGTCTCAAGAGATAGGCTGGCTTTCTCCTCTTTGTGGTCACTACCACTGCCTGATCGGTGCAGGCTCCGCCGGGAGTGTTTGCGCCGGGGTTGCTCCCGTTCTGGTGTGTCATCCTGTTCCACAGTCTCACTTTCCACATAAGGGTAAGCCACCAAGTTGATGTAACCATCACTGTCTCCCTCAAAACAGACAGATACCACGCCTGTTGGAAAAAAGATAGCCCATCAACAAATATCAACACAACCTGGGGCCATGCAGAATACACTGTTGGCACTTACTTTCCCACAGCACACAGACATCACCTACACTGAGCCAACTATGGACTGATATAGAGACAACAGCCAGCAGACACCATCTTTCTTCAATACAGATGACCATCCATCCTACTATAATCTGAAAATTAGTAATAAACATTTATAAATATGTCAATATGACAAACCAAGACTATTCTTCTTTGGTTCATTTTCTTCTCTCCAGGTGGGGAATGCCCCAATCACTGGGCCCTTTTTTTTTTTTTTTTT